GGGGGGGGGAGTTCCAAGAGGGCATTTGGCCCCTTGGAGCCCCCTTATCAGGGGGCTTCAGGGTGGGCTGGAACAAGGCTCAGGCCAATGGGGTTACAGGCACCTGATGTTTTAGGGGAGGGTTACAGGTGCGGGGTGAACCGTACATTTTGGGGGTGAGATGGAACAGTCCACTTGACCCCTGGACCCATCCGTAGGCAGGGGCATCTTCTGGCTGGCTGGGAGGACTGTTCTCATCCTGGCTGTATTATTTATGAATAATTATATTTATCCATCCTATCCAACAATATGCGTGCCATGTCACTGCAGGCATGCTCTCCCCATCCTGGGAGGATGCAGGTCTTCATCTCCCCTCCCACCAGACCCCACTCTCTTCCTCCAGATCCTCCACTCACCTTCCCATCCTGAAGCTGCTCCGAGGAGTGGACACCCTGCAGGGACCCCGTCTGGACAGCCTTCGCCTGCTTGACCAGCTCCGTGACCAGGACTGGGGAGGGCACGGGGGGAGAGGCGCCCTCACTTTCAACCACCTGAAGGTAGGTTGGTTCTGCTGCTTGGGACCGTGGCTCTCTGGGCAAGCAGAGCCGAGGCTGCTCCCCTGCACAAGAACCCAGACAAGGATCTGCAGGGCTTTGGGGTGTAGCAGCCCATGGCTGTGTCTGGGAAGGATGTGTGCTGCTGCCAGCCACGGTTAGAGGGCTTTGATCCTCTTCCTTGGATTGAACCAGCAACCTCCAGCTGGAGATGCTTTGTGCATTCAGAGCTGGGGCTCTGCACTGGTGTGCAGGGCATCACCCCCTGGCCCAGGCTGCCTGTCTCGGTGGGATGGCATCCCTGTGCCACACTGCAAGGCTGCCCCATGCCCTGGTGTGCTGGGACGTGCCTGTATAGGGCTGCGGGTGGCATTTCTGCTGAGAAAAAAACCTCCTCTCCCCACCCAACCTCTTTTCAACACCCTGGAGCTGTGCCAACTGGCCATGCTGGGGACAGCACTTGGTGGCACAATCTAGGTGTGGCCTGCCTTTTGATGGCTCTCCAAGCCAAGGGTCAAGAAGGATGCAAGGGTGTTTTCTGCTTACAGAACGGCTCCAGCTCTAAGTAACCCAAATGCTGTGTACTTTGCTTTGCGTTGCATTCTTTGATGTTTTGGGGGTGGTGGTTGTAGGTTTTTTTAAGAAAAAGGGCACATGTATGTATCTGGCCTTCACAAAAGAATCATCTTCTCCAGCCCGCATGGATTCAGCCCCACAAGTGGTTGCATGGTGACCTGCAGGGTTTGAAGGGACAGCCTTCCTGGGATCAGGCCTTGTGCTCTTCTCTCCCTCCTCACAGATGGTGTTGCTGTGGAGCACAGAGCTCTTCCCCTCCCCGGAGGACTGGCAGGACCTGGAAGGTTCTGTCTACAGGCTCTTGGTGATCCTTCTCCGCTGCCTGGCCACCCAGCACCTGCCCCACTTCCTGAACCCAGAGGAAAACCTCTTCCAAGGAGATGCCCCAGACCTTGCCTCCCTCTACCATAAAGTGGAGAGCTTTGCCTGGGACCCCCAACGCTTCCTCTGCTTTCACTTTGGCCTCCATGGGTTCAGTGGCAGCTGCCAGGCAGACACGGAAACCCAAGCCCTCCTGCAGCTCCCCACCGAGGATGGGTCCTGCTGGGACACAGCCTACTTTGACATCCTGCTCAGCCAGGTAACCCCAGCCCTTCAGCAGAACTCGTGAGGCAGCACTTGAGATCCCTAGCACCTGGGCTAGGAATCTTGGGATGAGCTGCAATCGGCTCCACCAAGCTCTCTGGCGTGCTGAGGAGGCTGTGGGAGGCTGGGAGTGCTGGGCAAGGAGCTCCAGCAGAGTGGGGAGCCCTCTCCCCTCACTGCCCACCCCCTTTAGTTTCAGGTGTACCGGATCCAGGACAGTGCACGTCGCTCAGCAGCATCCCAGCTCCTCTCCAGGATCCGCCAAGAAATCCCTCAGCAGAGCTGAGTGAGACCCTGCTGCTGTCCCACTGGGTGTCTCAAAACTCTGGGAGGTGCAAGGAGAGCTACAGGGCTAGGGAGCAGCATCCTGCTGTGTAATTTTATTGAGGAAAGGTGGTACAGGGGAGAGAGCACATCTGCTGCACCTGGTAGGGCACCCACAGACTCTTGGCTGCCCTGGTGGACCGGGGCACTGGGTGCTCCATGGTCCAGAATCTGCAGGGGGATGGCTGGCATTCTGCTGCAGAGGGTGGGGAAGGCCGAGGTTGTTGGTGATGGGAGGGGAAGTGACCTATGGTTAGACCCTGCATCCAACCCTCTGTCAGCTGGCTGAGGGTCACCATGCCCTGGGGCCAGGGGAAGGGAAAGAACTGAGGGGCCAGGCCAGTGTGGGGGGTGGTGGGAGAAGTGGTTTTGAGCCACATCTCACATCTGCTGAGCACAGCCCTCTCCTCCATGTGCCCTGCTATCCCAGCTCCTTTCCACTGTGCCTCGGCTTGCTGGATGCTGCCGTGCTGGCTCCTGCCAGCATCCCAGGGAGGCAGTGGAGTCCCTCTGCTGCCAGCTGCCTGCAGCCAGGCATGCGAGGCAGTGCCAGGCCACCTCCCCCAGCCTCCCCCCTCCGGGGATGCTCACAACCGGCTGCGGTGGCAGCGCTTAAGGGCATCTCGCAGGGCTCCAAGCACTCGCTCCACGTTGCCACTGGTTGAGTTGCAGCCCATGAGGCCGATGCGCAGGACCTGGGAGGAGAAGGGTGAGTGTCTGCGCCTCAGCAGCCCGTGCGGAGGGAGCGGGGGACACACGGCCAGGTGTGAGTGGTTGTGCGCAGCTCCCTTGCTCGCATTTAACACATCGTTCCCTATAAAGAGGTGTCGCCCCGGCTAATTACGTGCGTGGTTATTCAATTAGGAGGTGATTGTGTGTGGTTATGCTGCTATGCGTTGCTCCGGGCAATGGGACACAGCCAGCGACACACGCAGTGGCAGCCAGAGAGGGGCAGTGAATGCGGGGCTCTGTGCCCAGCCACGGGCAGCGGGACGGGAGGACTCTGCCCACCTTGCCCACCGTGGGGCCCAGGCCCCCAGCGATCTCCATGCCGTGGTTGTCCATCAGAAAGGCCGTGATGTCCTCCCAGTTGTAGCCCTCGGGCACCCTGACGGTGGTGATGGTGGGAAGTCTGGCCCTCTGAGGAAGAGAGAAACTGGTTTCAGTCCCACGGCCCCTGGTGACCCCAGCGCCGTGCCAGGAGAGAGCATCACGGAGCGGGGAGATTTTTCTCTGGCATCAAAAGCTGCCCAGGCACATCTCCAGCTGCACAGGGCTGTGCCCTCACGCTGCCCCCACTCTGTGGTGCTGCTGGTGGGCTTGCCCTGCACCCACCTCCTCCTCCACAAAGAGCTCAAGCCCCATGTCGAGCAGCCCCTGGCACAGCTGGGTGCAGTTGGCCCGGTGTCGCTCCCAGGAGCTCTCCAGACCCTGTGGGCAGAGAGGAGAGAGAAGAGAAGGTCTCTGCTGCTGGCAGGCATCTCCTGGCACCCACGGCTCCTCCGAGCCCCACGGGCACTGCTGGTGCTCCCCTGCCTGCCTGGTGCCACTCACCACTTCTGCCAGCAGGGCCAAGCCTTCCCGCAAGCTGAAGAAGCTGTTGATGGGCGCCGTGTGGTGGTACCTGCAAGGGGCACCCAGGGGCGTTCAGCTTGGCTGCAGCACGGCAGCCCCAGAGGAAAACTGAGGGGAAACTGAGGCACGGCATCCCCCCTCCTCACCACCCAGTGCAGAGGGTGTGACGAGCAGCCAGGGTGATGGGGAGGCAGGGGGAGGGCGGGCAGCCCCCGAGCCAGGACAGAGGCTGGGTGGGGAGTGCTCGCAGCCGTCTGTAACGAGGGAGACCGCCCTCACCTCCTCGGCTCCCCGTCACAGCCCCAGTAGTTTGCCAAGCAGCCCACGTCCAGATAGAAGGATGGGGGCTTCGTCTTCCTCCTCAGCAGCTTCTCCCTGGCGAAACAGAGTACCGGGGAGAGGTGGGACCTTGACCCCACCAGCTCCAAGGTGGGATCAGCCCTGTGGGAGGCAGGAACTCCCCTACAGTGAATGCAGAGATTGGCTCCAGCTCCCAATCACTGCCCAGGGATGGGATGGGCTCTGCTCCCATAGCACTGCAGAGCAGGACAGAAGCAGGTGGCTGGCAAAGGAGAGAGGTGACAACCTCCCCCAGCCACATCCACCCTGCTGAGACTGGGCTGCTCTTACCTGGCTCGCTCACTGAATGAGATGGGGGCACTGCCAGGGGGTGTGTTGAGGACTTTCTGGGACCCCGAGTACAGGACATCGATCTCTGCCCAAGAGGGAAGACAGCTCCTTAGGAATCAGAGGCTCCCAGCAGGAAAATGCTGAGCCCGCTGACCTAGCTGCAAGTGGTGGGTGGGAAGCACAAGGATGGCACACATGGCAGGTCCCACTTGTTTCAGGCTGCTTTGGGAGGGCCCTGGCACTGCTGATGGTGCCCCAAGGGGAACAGGCTCTCTGGATGCATCTGGACAAGTTTCTAGTGCTGCTAGCCAAAATGCAGGCCGAGGGCCTGATCCCACTGCTCCCTGCCCCTGTCCCAGGCATGAACCCCTTTGTCCCCTGGTTCTTCATGGTGGCACTGTGGCTCTTACCCTGCTGGTCCATGAAGATGGGGGCTCCCCCAAGCGATGCCACTGCGTCCACAAGCAGCAGGCAGCCATACCTGTGGAAGGACAGAGCTCAGCCTGGTGTCCCTGCCACCTCTTCTTGCCACATCTCTGGCTGCAGCCCTGGCATCCTGGTCCCCACAGGAACTGTGTGTCTCACTGGCACCAACTGCTTCCAGCACAACGGAGCCAGAGAAGAGCTCAGCACATATAAACCCCCAGGCCCAAATCCCCGGTGGTGACCTTGGGGTGGCCACCAGGCACTGACCGGTGGCACAGCTCGCCCAGCCCCTCCAGTGGCTGCAGCACCCCTGTGGAGGACTCGCCGTGGGTGATGAAGAGCACCAAAGGTTTGTGCTGCAGCAGGCCCTGCATGACACAGAGGGAAAGTGACCACACTGGAGGTCAGCTTGTGCCCTCTGCATAGTGGCCAGCGCTCACCTGCTCAATGTCCTGTGGAGTGAAGTACTTGCCTGGGGGCTTCAGCAGCTCATAGACATTGGCTCCTGGAAGGAATTTGGGCAGAGGAGAGTGAGGTTTGGGCATGCTTCCCACTGGGCACTCATCTGCTCCATGGGGCAATTGATCATGCATGAACCAGGAGCAGAGCCACCTGCCGGAGTCTGGCCTCCTGCAGATTTGCCCAGTGGAAAAGCCATAAAGCACCATAAATGGAGTGGCATCATTCTTGGAAAAACCTGGAGTGCTCTCTGGCAGAGTGCTCTCTGGCTTTGCAAGCCGTGTCACTGAGCACTGCCAGCATTGGGACAGCAAACCAGGGCACCCTGCCTTCAAGCCCAGTCCCCTGAGCCCTGCCACACCACCTGCCTGTTCCCAGCATACCCAGCCTCCTGGCAATATCGGCAGCACGCTGTCCCCAGATGCCGTTGATGGCCACCAGCACGGTGTCACCTTGCTCGAGCAGGTTGACGAGGGCGGCCTCCATGGCACAGTGGCCGCTGCCGCTGATGGCCAGGGTCAGCCTGTTCTGCGTCTGGAAGGCGTACTGGATGCCCGCCTTGATCTCATCCATCACCTGCGGCAGCAGGACACTGGCCAGCACTGCTATTGCTCCTTTTGCCCCAGCAGAGCTGTTCCAGCCCTTCCTGGGGGTGAGGAAGAGGAGGGGAGGGAAGGAAGGCTGGGCTGGGGCAGCTCACCTGCAACACCTCAGGGTGCATGTGGCCCAGGAGCTGGCGAGCGCCCGCAGCCCGGATGCGGCGGGGCACGTTGCTGGGCCCTGGCCCGAGCAGCAGCCTCTCGGGCACGGCCAGGGGCCGCAGCAGCTCCTCCGGAGGGGCAACGCGGAGCAGTCCGGTGGCCATGGCACGCCGTGCTGTCCCCAGGAGCTGAGCCCAAAGAGGAGGAGTAGAGGAGGCTGCCTGAGCAGCTGCCAGCATTGCAGCACAGTCTATCCTGTGCCAGCAGTGTCCGGTGTCCCCACGGACCTTGACCCAGTATTCAGTGCTCCCCCCTACCAGTCTGGACTCTACCCCTGGCTGCCTCCTCTGCCTGGTTAATGTGTCATCTCTGCTATCCCTGTCTTGGGCCCCTCATTTTGGGGGATGCTCCCTTGCTGGTGCTCAGGTCATCACTCTCCAGGTATGCCAGCCTCTGGGACTCCCAAGCACTGAGGCAGTCCTTGTCCCCGTGGCCCCCCACAATACGAGGGCTGATGATTCCCAACAGTGTCCCAGCAGGTGGGATCCTTGCTCTGGGCACCTAGATCCTGTGCCACAGGATGGCTGTGCAGAGAGACTGGTCTGGCACAGCTGCCATGGTCGTAGCTCCTCCTGCAGCAAAAAGTTCCTGTTGACCAGGGTGCCCCGACCAGGGACCTGCCCTGGAGAGTGACATCTGGCAGGGTGACAGCCTGAAGGAGGCTGGCCACTGGACTGATGTGCACCAGGGCTGTGGACTGGGACATGGACACAGTCGTTGCCACAGCGAGCTGCGCTCTTGTAGGCACAGCTGGACCATGAGCATCCCAATGTGTCCTGAGGGTGCCACAGGCCCCACGTGGGGTCGATATTCTGTTACCTGCTGTGTGTACCCACAGCACATTGCCCTGCGCCTCACTTCAGCCACATTCTCTGCCATCCACACCCTGAAATGCAAATAAGCTGCCCGCTGCCAGCTTTAGCAGATCCATGAGTGGGTCTCTGCTCAAAGGAGCCCCTCAGTGAGCAAAGCTTTGGCTAGGGATGAGAACAGGGGTGAGCACAGGGATGAGAATTCCCACCCGGCAGAACTGGCACCAGTGGCCGCTGCTGAAGACATACCAGACAGAGGCATGGGGCCAGCAACAGTGCCAGGTGCGAGCACATCTGCA